GATTATGTGCTTGAATAATACTTGGATATAGAGAGGCGAAATCCAGGGTTGCAATTGGAACACTGTAATATCCTCTGGTAGGTTCAATGACAGTGGCACCTTCGTACTGTTCATCAGATGAGTTGGATGATAGGTTAGGAATAACCAATTTCTGTTCTAAAGCTTTTCGAAACAGTTGACTAATGAATTTGACTTGTTGGCCACGAGATAGAAGAAAATTGAAAGGAACACCTGTGACTCTAGCCATTTCCGTGTAATTTTCCAAACATGAAAGTTTATCCATTAGACGTTGAGGCAGAAAAGCATCCTTCAGGCAGTATACAGCCAATCTTCGTCTAGATTCAGGGGTTCCATTGAATAATTCTGTAATCATAGTGTGGTGAACATCTTCCTTTTGCTCACCCAAAAACTGAGCACAAACGGAATTGAGCGTATAACTTCGAAGTTGATGATCTCTCTGAACAAGTTGTAATAAGTCCAATTGAAGTCGTCCATTAGTATTGGTAGCTTTTGTATCCCTATTGCCCATTTGCTTGCTGGAGAAGTTGGAAGGTTTAGCTTGAGAGTGGATAGACTTTAATCTAGTCCATTGACTGAAGTTCTTGATCTTCAAGTGATCGGCTCGATCTAGGAGGTATGGGAAATCAAAATTCGCAATATTGTAACCAATGATAATATCTGGATCTACCTCTTCGAGAAAGTCTCTCCATTTCGATAACATCGTCTCCTCCTTTTTGAATTCGTGAATCTGTGTATTGACAATCAAACTGGTAGTATCAAGACAAAAGACATTTCGTACGAATGGTTTCTTCTCTCCATATCGAGTAACAATATTAGCAATTTGGATAACAGGATCCTGATTTGCTTCCGGAAAGACACCCTTGCGACCAGCACATTCAATGTCAAAAGATAGAATACGTAAAGGTGCCATTTTCGCCCATTCCCCTTCGGGCTTGTGCGCAATCAAGTCCCGATATGTCATTACGGCTTCAATTTGACAATTCGATTGTCTATTGTGTTCTGGAACTATTTCGTATTTCTTTGCTTCAACTTCAACCCATGACATACCATAAATCTGTCATTGATTAGATGTGTTAAAAACAAGATTGTCGTAGGGATGAAATATGAGAGGGAAAAACGAGGTGAAAAATGAAAAGAGCAAAGGAACACACCTTGACGTCGACCATAAATCGTAACACATATTGAATGCTATCAAAAGTCAAAATACCATTTCCATCATTCCTCCACATTCCTTTCCAGTTTGCTTTACCCTCCTCGATAGTTGTTCTGACTTTGTTGATATATTTAGGGTCCGTAACTGTAATCTTAATATATGCGTGCTGTTTATTTCCCGTAAATCCGTATAAGTTCTCTCGTAGTACAACCGATACTGAATTAATGGCAGGCGTGTGCATTCCAACTTGTGAATCTAGGAACATCTTGTATGGTTCACAATCTTTGTGTGTAAAACTAACTGGAGCGGCAACGTAAAGGTAGTGAAGGAAGTCTTTTACATGCAGCATAACTGAGTGCCCAGTCTGTATATGGTATTAGTTATAGCCTCGAAAGGAATTGGAATGAACTCTACCTCAGTAACACCGAACAACTTCACAGTCGCCTTTCCCCCATCATAAGTACCTTCTTCACATTCAATCTGCTGAAAGATCAAATTATCAACCTCGGGGTTGAAGTCTGCCAGGCTCGGCCTTGCCCATTCTTGATCTTTTTCCGAATTGTTCTTCTTTAAACTTTCCATATCCTGTGTCATTTTTTCCAGCACTTCCGATTCAAAATGACTAGGCTGGCTAGAAGCCAGCTTTCCTCTGGGGCCATTCTGTGAACTCTTGAATCGAACTGCTGCTGGTGATGATGCAACTGGTTCTAACTTTCGTTTCTTTGCCCCAGTTGGAGGAGATGAGGGGATATTGCTTTGTTGAATGTTCTTTGCTTCACCCAAGATTCGCTTTTGAGGAACTCTTGATGGAGCCATTGTGGAGATTTTACAGCTTCTATGCTGCTAAAAGGAAAGACGTAGTTGGAAAGGTTGTTGACGGGAATTTGGTTTTCGGATTTTAGAAGACGCATTTCAATATAAAGTTCGCGTCAATCAATTACTTTTCGCGCGGTGTGGACGCGTCGAAATTATAGTGGACAAGGGGGCAGCTTCCTTAGTGGCGGGTGTGGCTGAAAAGCGCTGCTGTTGATTAAGTAAGCAGAGAAGCAGCTTACCTGGGCAGTATCTTAAGTCAAGGTAACCAGGATAACTAACCCTTTCCTGACACACAACTTCAACCAACAATTGATCTGTACAACACCACCTGCATGCAAAGCATTTCGAGATCTTCTTTCAGAAAACCTATTTCAAGACTCGATATATCAATGATTGGGTTCGGTATTCAGCGGTTCCACAACTTGACATTTCATCACTCTCTCTCGATACATGATCTATAGGTTAAGTCTACTACATGGAGTGTTTGCTTCCCTCAATATTCTGTTATATATCACCACACACCAATGCGACTATATCATTGAGATCGACAGTGGACTAAATCTAGTGTGAGGAGCAAGAACGTATCTTCACACGTACATGATGCATCTCTCTCTGCCCTCGAGACATGAATTATACAGCGCAGGTCCCGAGTACAAAAAGTGTTGCATAATGCGAATTTCCTGGCTTTGAAAATCGGGAAGCACTTTCAGATCCTCCTTTACCTAGAAGATATACTCTACCAGATGAAACCGCTCTTTACCGTCGTTCTTATTATTACTTCTATGCCTCGAGGCTAAGCGTTTCCCATCTCCGCTTAGGAGGGAGGTCGTTGACCAATAACGAGTGTTATCACTCAGCGAAGTTCATGCATCAAACTTAATGATTGGAAATATTTACATGGAAGTATCCCAAACCTCTTTGAAGCTATACAGAGTATGTGTGTTGTCCTACCATGATTACATCACAGAAAGAGAATCTGAGGAGCCATGTCGCCTGACCAACAATCTCTCAAGGAAGTCTTTATCTTTTATGTATATAGGTATCTTTCTCTGTATCTTATTTCCTATCCAGAGATTTCTATACATATCGAGAAAATACTACAGACCGAGCGTCCATTGCGATCTGAAATCCTATTTTCAGCATTTTAATCGATCGTTGGAAACGCAATTTACCAATATCTTATTGTTCTGATACGCACAGAATAATCCTGTTCTAGACGTCAAGTTACTCCATCCAATCAAACACATCACAAATTTCTTTGATCACTCGGTGAAACTTCAAAAATTCGGTTCCTTCACGATCAATATGCCCCATTCATCATACTCATACTCCTGTCCTACTTCACCAAAGCGTTGCAGGCAAGCGTCTTTCATAGATAAATTAATATACCAAATCCGACTCATGGATTATCGACATGACGTTACATTCTCGGCATATGTATTGACTCCGGGAGAAAAGCTGGTTATGAATTCGATCATTCTTCTATTTATGAGTCTAGTGGGGTATACTCTATTCTCTTGTTAAACCACTTTCATTCATTAAAGTATTCGGAGGATCCTCTTATCACATGCGGCTTCCAACGACCAACTGAGAGTTACAATGGGGGATGTGAGCAGAGCCGTCGTTGGAAATACAAGTTTTGCTTGGAGTAGGATCACAGAGTGGAACCACCATCTCCATCTCACTATAATGTAAGTGTAGAGAATTCTGAATATTTTTCCAATACGATATATCGATATTACCTTCAGATGTAACGATGTACATTTAAGCACGCCCCGACCGATGCACGAGTGAGACATTGGGGCTCAGACTATCATTGACTCCCCCTCGAGCAGTACTTACCGTGCAGGAATCTGATCATAGCCATGGAGACTGGGCCCCGAAAAAGCAGATTCAAGTGCAATACCTCCAGAACCCTCGACCAACAGATGGTTTACAGATGAATCTCACGTACTTCGGCTGCTCGAAATTTCCCCTTTATCAACACCACATTTTCAATTATACCCAATAGCGATACTATTATGACGGCGCACAATTTTCTCCCTTGGATACACCTGCAGCGACTACGCGATGTAGTTTCCAGGAGGTAATGAATTTTATGATAACGATCGGGTTTACTTCGATACTCATGATGTTCAATTATTAGGATGTCATTCGGTTCGGGCCCCAAGAAAGCTCATGAAAATCTTTATTGGGGGCTGGATCACGAACAACTTAAATGGATATTTCTCCCCATAATTTTCTCTTTCAGTTGATCTTATTTAGCATCTTCATGGATGAGCTTCATGAAAACCAATCAGCCTTGTTTATTTCTCACAGCCACTTTTCAAGATGTAAATAGAAACAAAGTACCGACACGACATATTAATTTATTTTACTGGATGAGATGATACTACAGTATATTCTCCACTGAATTGTCGAGTTGCCAAGAGTGACGCGAAAATGTTACGTAGCCCTGTTGCTGCTGGCTGTTAGAATGATAGAAGACCAGCTTATTACTTCGTACACCACTCCGTACACCACTCCGTACAGCCCTATCAGTATTTTGAGTACGAAGTATGGAGAGCGAGCCACTGGTGAGCTAGATTTTTCAAACTTGTTGGTGAATGAGTCCCACTGGATCGATGCTTGTGAATCAGGGTACTGTAATGTGAAACCTCGTTTTGACGATGATCACGACTTGAGAACTCTACCCGTACCTACCTTATTTTAGACAGCATGAATTCCTTTTGTTCAGTTGATTCCTAAATCTTCCAGATATCCAAAAAGTAGATCTTCACCGCATAATTCAACGAATTCGATCTTCGAACCACTTTAAGGTTCTCGGGCTGCTAAAAAATCCCTACGGCAGCTCAGGTACAAGCCTCTTTGGTTTGATGGTTGGTTCTGAAACGGGGACAAATCCAAAAACAGAATCTTTTCCGATCGAGTGACCTTGTTACCTTGTTACCCAGTAATACTCGTACCTTGCTTGACCATTCTCGAGCCTTTCTTTCCCATCTACCGTATCCTATCCTTACACAACCTTCTCAAGTCCCCCTCGGTCGAGGCAGTGCTTCTAGAGCAAAAACATCCTACCTAGCAATTGATAAATGATATCCACCCCCAGCCTATCTGAAATCATTACGAGATTCTCGAGAATCTACAAATTCGTCGAGGCTTCTTTTTCTTATACTATTATAGAGAAACTCAAAAAAGTACCCATGAATAGTAACTGATCACCGCTAAGATATTTTGACAGCGTCAAATCTCCACATTCGTTGTCCATATTTAGCCAAGAACCTGCATTTCGACCTTGGGGATCTCTTGTTTCAGGCTTGTACAATCTTCAGACGATCGCAACTTCGACTTTCTTTTTTAAGTGAGCGAACCATTCCTACCTTTACGAACGATTCCTCAATAGTGTCAAGTTGATACGGTTAATCGATACATTCAAACCGTATCCAACATCGATAATGGCGTCGAATGATTATTACAACTCTTATTCACATCAACAACAACAATATCAACATGCCGAACCGCCAGAACCATATCACAGTCAATTCGACGTTCAATCCCAACAAAACACAGTACCTCCATCATACCATTCTCAAGTACCTTCAAGACAAGGCTCGATTCCATCCCGAGTAGGATCGACCAGACCTCATGAAATGTCACCGGTCTCACCATTCGAAGCCCCGTTCGATGATCATGTATATCCAGCACCAAATGTGCCGCCGCATAGACTAGATAGCTCGAATAGCTTAGGACAAAATTCACAATATTATTCACAAGGGGGTGGTGGCAGACCTCATGATGGAATGGGTTACTCCAATGATGATATACCTTTAAGAGAAAACCCGCAAGTACCAGCAAAGGACGGCCCTACAGATCATATTTATGATTCGAACTCGAATGATCATGTATATGATGCAGGAGAATTGGCAGTACCTTCGCATTTACAGAATAACAAGAAGAATAGAATGAGCGACGCTATGGCTATGTCACTTATTAATAAAAAGAAAGGCTTTCCTTTCGTTACATATACTCTCACATTGGTACAAGTGATAGTATTTATTGTGGAGATTGTTAAGAATTGTAAGTATTTTGATGCAGAGTTTGAGTATGAGATACTAACATCAGATAGCTCAACTTACTGGCTCTCCCATCGAAATTCATCCATCCTTTAATCCTATGATTGGCCCTTCACCATACGTGGTTATCAACATGGGGTCAAGATTCACGCCTTGCATGCATAATATGACCGGCATACCAGATTTAACTGCCATAAGTTGGCCATGTCCAAATACAACAAGTTCAACGGGAGCCGATTGCTCAATAAGTGATCTCTGTGGATTTGGAGGAGTTGGCGCCACACCAGATCAATGGTATAGATTCATTTTACCTATGTTTCTTCACGCCGGAATCATTCACATAGGTTTCAACATGTTGCTTCAAATGACTATGGGAAAAGAAATGGAAATTTTGATTGGACCCATTCGATATTTTCTGGTTTACATCTCCAGCGGAATATTTGGATTTATATTAGGTGGGAATTTTGCAGCAACCGGTATATCGTCAACAGGCGCTTCGGGAGCTCTTTTTGGCCTCATTGCTCTTACACTACTTGACTTATTATATAAGTGGAAAGAACGTGTCAGTCCCATGAAAGAGTTGGCTTTTATCATGCTCGATATTATTATATCATTCGTTTTAGGTCTCTTACCCGGTCTCGATAATTTCTCACATATTGGAGGATTCCTTATGGGTCTTGTTCTTGGTTTATCGATTCTTCGTTCGCCCAACTCTTTACGAATGCGAACAGGTCAATCAGATCCACCATACGCACCAGTCCCTACTAAAGCGAGCCAAGGTGACCGTGGTATCGTTAGTTTATTCAAAAATCCTTCGGGATTTTTCAAGGGCAGAAAACCAGCTTGGTGGGCTTGGTTACTTTTGAGATTAGCCGCCTTAGTCTTCGTCTTCATCGTGTTTATTTTACTTTTAAACAATTTCTATGTCTATAGAAAGACTTGTGGTTGGTGCAAATATTTGAGTTGTATCGTAAGTTTCCCCCTTTATTTTAATCGGTTATATTCCTTTGTTGAAGTCAAGCTAATAATATGAAAATAGGATGTGAACAATTGGTGTAGTTTGGGTAATTTGGATTTGACCAATACTACGACGAAGAGAAGTTTACTTGATAGTTGGGATTCAATGGCCAAGCTGTATACATAAACCGAGATGCTTTTATCAAGCTTTTGGTTATATTTTCCATGAGAGTTATGACATGGGAGGGTGAAGTGTGGGGGTGAGAGTGGGAGTAGATGTTACTTTTGCATTTTTGAGAAAAAAATAAGAGCATATTGCAGTATGCATAGCGATGGAGTTGCTTTATCAGGTTGGACAATATGGATTTTTGATACTCTGGATGAGTTAATACCAGACTTTACATCATACGAATGTATGAGGAATGATGAGACTTGGGTTGAGAAGAGTGATCGGGTAGCTGGGACCAGGCAAAGGGAATAAACTGCATCTTACTTACTCGAGCGTTTTGATTCAAGGTCTGCATGTGCGGGCTGACAAACGCGTATACCATGATATATTCCAATAAATTTAATGAATGATACCATTTGATATCAATTTTCGCTTTTTCGAATTGGCTTTAGTGTTTGTATTGATATATGTTAATTACATTAGGGTGTTCTGACATACTGGCAATGTCAGCTTATCGCCTTCATTTTTGAGTTTCTCTCCAGCTCATTATTGGCCTTTTATATCTACTCGTAGTTCATGTAATGTAGAATATTTTACTGTACGGAGTATGGTAATGTATTATACAGGTATCTTAAAAGAGATACTCAGTATGAACTTGTAGGGACAGCATTCCTATATTCACGTAGAGAGTATATGAGTAAGCGAGACTTCAGACCTTAAATATCTTACTCGCAGTTCTAGCTTTCTGAATTACACATATGTATCGATAAATATTCTCAAGGGATTCAAAAATGTAAGATTACCTACTCCACACATTCAACATCCCCATATTGAACCACACCGCTTTCGTTCTTCGATCTTCTAGATCATTCTGCCGTATGCAAGCTAAGGCGGTGTAACAATTATTCCATAAAAAATATCGTATCGCAAAGACACTCTCATTTTCCATACATAAACAAACCTTCCAAACCAATCTACCTCTCCATCCCCATCAATTCATCTCACCATGGGTCGCAGCGACAGCAACGAACGGGTGGCCAAACCCAAGAAAGAAAGAAAATCCAAAATCCCCAAAGATCAACGCGTGCGCAAACCCAAACTCCCCAAGGATAAAGATCCGCTTCGTACGAATAAACCAGAGGTGCCGTTGATGAATCGCTCGGTGCATGCGAAATGGGGCGCGCTTTTTCGAAAACATTTGGGCGTCCTAGAGGCACATTGTAAGGCGTTGGATAGGGTGCAACAGGCGATGAAGGGGGAGATGAAGAATTTGAGTGAGGAGGAGATGATGGAGTGGGAATTGAATGAGGAGGGGCCGTGGAGGATTTTGTGTGGCTTGTTGGATAGGGGGAGGGATACGTTGGTTAGTGGGAGGAAGATGGCGCAGTTTGTGGTGAGTTTTTCTGGGGGGGGCGAGGGATGAGATGGGATGTGATGGGTATTTACTAATGCGATTGCGAAATAGTTACCTGCTCGTTTGATGAAAAATAGAAAGGGATTGGGAGTCTTGGGCACAAGTTACGAACCTCTTGTTCCACAACTCGATGCTCGTCTTGCCGCGGAGAAGAATGGCACTGCTACTACCAAAACCAATGAGAGTAATAACGATAGTTCCGATTCCTCTTCAGACTCCTCGTCAGACTCCGATTCCGACTCCGATTCCGATGTAGCAGAAGTGGGAGGATATGAGGATGAAGATGTCGAAATGGAAGATGCACCTGTGGCAGAATCTAAAAAAGATCCCTCGACAAGTGCATCGGTGGAGACGGAATCAAGTGCGCATTTCTTTGTGGATACAGAACCGACGCCAATCGCAGATTTGAATAAGAAGGATAAGAAAGATAAGAAGAGAAAGGCTGAGGGAGATCTTAGAGGCAGAAAATCAAAGAGAGAGAAGAAGAATGAGGAAGAGGAAAAGGAGAAGGAAAATAAAATTGAGGAGGAAGAGGTTAATTTCCAAGCTATGGAAGCACAGTTGCAAGCGGAGGTCGAGGCGGGTATGAAGGCCCAGGAAGAAAAGGCACAAAATGCGCAGGAGAAGAAAGAGAAAAAGAGGAAGAGAGATGGCAATGGGGAGGAGAATGAGGGAAAGAAGGAAAAGAAGGAAAAGAAGAGTAAGAAAGTTGAGGAGGAAGTGAAAGAGGTTGAGGCTGAGCAAGAAGTTGAGCAAGAGCAAGAGCCAGAAGTCGAGAGTAAGAAGGAGAAAAAATCAAAGAAGGACAAGAAGAGAAAAGTAGATGATGTTGCGGCGGAAGATGAACAGATTGATGGGAAGAGGAAAAGGAAATCGAAATAAGTGGGTTGGGAATCGAAAGGAAGTGTACGGGTATAGCATATCTAGATGGGAGAGGAGCATTTGAGTGTTGCATGGCTGGATGAATGGATGGATATGTTAATTAGTGAATTAAATCGAATTGAATACTGTCAAATTGATCCATGCAAGTGGAACCTTACATCGTGGGTTTGGAATAGAACTTGGAGAGTGGGAATGTAGATGCGTGCATTCATAGGTATGGTTAGGTTTGGCTAGGTTTACTTTGTTTTGCTGATTTACATTCCCTGGTTTAGTTTTTGGGATTGGATATATCATGCCATGTATATTATGAACAACACAAACACAAATCAGTAATCACATTCGTACAGCGAAATGAAGTAGGTATTGAACGTGGATGGATGGATATGGATATGGATATGGATATGGATATCAACTAGGGATTACTGTATGAACATTGTCATACTTGTATATGTATATGTATATGCATATGCTCATAGGGTTAATAGTTAAGGGTTAAGGGTCAGGGTTGAGGTTTGAGAGCTGAGGTGTGTGAATCATGTTTTTATAGTGGTTACCTTCTCGTCTCTTCTCATCGCTTATGGGCTTTGATTTTGATGGGCATGTGTATGGATGCGGGGTTGGCATGAGAATGGAGGTATAAAAGACCACTATTCTAAATATTTGAAGATTACACTTTCTGACCACATCGAGACTATTGCTCGTGAGGAGGGGAGGGAGATGTGCGGAGGGATTTGAGGAATTGGTGGGGGAGCTGGTGGTTCTGGATTTCTAGAGAGGTTTGGAGGAGACGGGGTTGGGTTGGTTTGTTGTTGTCGTTATTGGTTCGTTCTTGTTTCGTTGTTGTCGTATTATCATCATCACTTTGTAATTTCCACACCATCTTTTTTGTATCTCCAAGATCCTCACACCCGCAGGATAATTTCCCACATATACCCTCAAATCCATACCATCTCACAATCCCCAAACTTCGACTCACATACCGCTGGGAATCAAATCAAAAAACTCCATTATCTGCGGACGTTACTGAGTACACATACAGCTTGCGTCTGATTTGGAGGGGGAAGATATTACTTATATACTCTGCGGATTACGAGATGCAGATAGGGATAGATTTGTATATCGAGGGGGAAAGGGTGGAGATGTGGTATAAAATATCTACTTGGAATCTAAGAAAGAGTTTAACCTTATGGATACTTTCGGAAGAGAAAATAGAGATGAGGTGGATTTTAAGTGGGAGAATAGGCTGGAGGGGGGGGGGATATTCGTAGAGTTCTATGGAGTTTGAGGGAATGGGAAATTACTGTGAGGAGAATGGTATTCTGTGATGACAGTGGGAAGAGAAACATGTGGTAGGTGAAAATAGATGAGTAGATGATGATGGTAAGAATAGAAAAATGACGGTGAATTAGAATCTTGAAGAGTTAACAACAGAAATGATTTTCTAGCAACAATGACAACTACCTAGTATGCAATTGTCGCTAATGATGACGTCGAATCCTGATTATTACGCAGATGTATATATACTAGTACCCTCATAATGTCTGAGATTCATGATCCGTATACATGCTGAGCTCTAGAGTATCTGGCGACTTCACATCCGCATGCATTTCTTCCAGTCTATTCTTAGTTTATGTTCCAAAACGAAAAATAATGGGTTGGGGGGGTACTTATAAGTCGGAGGAATATAAAGTCGGATAATATAAGCGAGATGAATTGTTGGAATTAAATATCTTTCGGAAATCTTCACATCTAGATTGCTACTTTTAAGTTTGTTTATGATCTATATTGCTATGGTATTTAGAGTGAGTCGAAGATGAATTTTCTTGAGCTTTTTTCAGATTTTCGGTTTTCATTTATGGTTGATTTATGATTCTAGTTCTTTGATTCTACTAAAGTACCTCGATTCCAGGCACTTATTTCGTAGAGCCCAACCGGCTCCCAATTGTGGATTACTAAGCGATTTTTTATTTAGACGAGAGCGGTATTATATCTTTTGTTGTACTCCATAAGATTCAAGTAGTTCAGGTGTCGAAATTTCACGCGCGATATTTCTCTCTCAATACAATTCTGAATAATCTATGATTTAGCTCACACATTCTCTATTCCCCAGTCTCAAAATCCAAGCCAAACCCCTTACACCCACATCATAAAGTAATAAATGTCTCCCCTCCTCCGCATCGGACAAATCCTCCAAGGCAAAACCAACACCTACACCATCACCAAACAACTCCACTTATACGTATTCCTAGCCCAGTACGTCTAACCCACACCCATACCAAACCTCTCACTCACACCCCCTTGGTAACTCACAAAACCAAAACGTCATCATAAAAAGTATACACGATCACTGGCGACTCCCAAATGAAGCAAAGATTCTCCAACGCTTTCAATCTAAAACAGCCTTTATTAGACCGCTACTTGATGAGATTGTGATTCCAAATGATCCACAAAGTATAGTTCTGAGATACTTAGATGATGATCTCATGAGCGAGACGTATAAGAAAGCACTTAGTAGATGTGAACTTGAGTTTGTGGCGAGGAGGTTTTGGAAGCGCTGAAGGTTTTGCATGATGAGGGGTTTGTTCATACTGGTATTTTTTATTATTATTTTTTACACTGGATAATTTACCTCAGAGTAACATTTCTAATAAATATGATATTAGATGTGAAACCGAATAATATCCTCGTGAATCATGACACTCAGGAACGGTTTTCCGAAGTCCAACTTGCTGATCTCGGGGGTACGGTATCGGTAGATTCGAAATGGGCTATGGATGGACATATAGTTGGGACTTCTTGCTGGCGAAGTCTAGAAGTGTTGCTTGGTATGCGATGGGATACATCAGCTGATATCTGGTCGTTTGGGTGTTCGGTATGTGATAGCATATATTGTCTCTCCTCCAAGACGAAAACGCAATCCACAACTTAGCTACTCTTGATACCAAGTTACTCACATCTCCACCCCCAGATCCTCCATCTAATCTACGGCAACCACTATCCCTTCAACCAGCTCAATTACGGCGTCACCCTCGACGACGACGAATACGATTTCGGGGTTCTCCAAAAACATCATCAATATCTCGGACCCTTCCCAATTTCCTTTGCGGAGATAGCGGATGAGGGAACGCAGAATGCGATTGTGTTGGCGATGAAATCGGTTCCGAGAGAGAGGATGAAACCGTTTTCGAGGATTACGTAAAGGGAGATTGGGAGGGGGGATAATGAATTTTTGAGGAAGATTTTCAAGTTGGATCCGACGGAGAGGCCAACGGCAGGAGAGATTTTGGAGGATTAGTGGTGGGGGGTGGATTAGTGTGGTGGGGGTATAATAGGTGATAGATAGGATGATAGGAGAATAGTTAAAATTTACATTCACTCGGTTATTTATCCATTTCGATACCGAACTATGGTATATAAAAGCATAGATTTTCTCTCTTCTCATTTTCTCCTCATAATAATCACAAAGTGAAGGCTGGGTTATTAAAAGGATATTGAAGTCCTTGCAATTCTGCAGATGAACGAATCGAGGGTAATGAGAATGCGTCAAACGGAATTTCTATCTGACACAAGAGGTTTGATATGAAGCTGTGGAATCGGCGAAGTAAAAAAGGACGAAAATATGAATAACGGTAATGAAAGTATGCTCCAATACTGTGTACGGGTAGCATGATAAACAAAATAAAAATGACAATGACAATACAGATATTCTGATAATATCGAATTCCCCTGCGCAATTTCAATTCTCATTCTCATTTCCAAAATCCTCTCATTTCCTTGCGCAAAATTCCTATGTATCACCAAAAAATGAACCACAAACGACCCCCCTCTAGTTGTTCGTCAAGATCGGTAAAATGCATGCTCTCCAAAACAAACATCGATCAAAGACCGCGCATTTTATACCCCCTCTCGTTTTCGAAAGCAGCTCAATAACTCATATTAACTTACTAGTCCCCACTCCCCCTCTTCTCAAAACTCTCAGGCCAGCAACCTATCATTTCCCGTCGTAGAATTCCCATATATCATGAAGGAACCAACAAATCCCCAAGAATCGTAAACCAAATCACCCCCCCCCCCCCCCCCGGCCACTATAAATCCTTCATCCCCTCTCATCAAGATTCTCCTTGCAACACACTCAAAGCTAACATTTTCAATGTCTCGCTTTAGGAAACTTTTTTGTGTCTTGAGTACTTTACTTCTAAATCCTCACTTCCGATTCCTACTTCTGAATACTCGAGATCCGAAAGAGTTGTGAGATGAAAGATTACGATAAATCGATCATACCCACTTATTCCTTCATGATTCATCATCGTCATAAGAATAATGCTAAGCGACAACAACAACAACATCAAACTATTTTCACTACGAGAAATACAACCTCACAACAGCAACAGCAACAACAGTAAAATCTCACCAACCCCACCATCCTATCATCCCCCTTCCAAATCCACGAATCGATCTCCAGTAAGCACAGCACAGCACAGCACAGCACACCCATTAAACCCCCAACCTCTCAATCAAAATTCCCCGATAACATTCCCATCTTAAGTATTTCATCTTTATTCTTTTCTTCTTCTCAAGAATCGAGAAGTAAAGAAACCAAACAAAACAATAACTATATCTATATATATATATATTAAAAAATGAACCCCTTCCCCCCCACAATTCCCCCATCCCTCTCCCCTCTCCAATACCAAATTCCAGATTTCAATAAAAGAAAAGAAAGCAAAACGAAGCAAAACAAAAAGAATTTCCATATATATATAGATACATATCCACCTAATCTAATCCCTATCCTCTTATTTTCCAATTAAGCATCAAGCATTAGCCATCAAGTGAATATAAAAATACTACAAAAGAACTTGCAGAACTTAAGATCTAAAATCTTATAACCTAGATCTAAACTCCAAACTCAAACACTCAAACCCAAGCCCCTTCTCACCACCTTAAACATTCTACACAACAGATAACAGAATCTATCTTATATTAAGTAAGCACCCATATCAGAAATAAGAAATAAGATCAATACTACTACTAACATTTGGAAGCGAGGATTTTGAGTCACGGATCTTGATTTTTGTAGCTTGATTGGGACGGTAGAATAGGTTATGATGAGTAATGAAATTTCTTTGAATTTCTAGTAGGTTATTGATATCGACAGACGAGAAATAGAGAATCGGAGAATCGGAGAACCTACAGACCTTGAAGATGAAAAGGAAAGATGGAATGAAAAACTCCCGTCTCCTGCTAACTGCCAGAAAAACCAACAAGAAATCAGAAGTCCACAAGTCCAAATTCAAATCACAAATAACAAATCCCCCCCCCCCTCAAAAAGAGATCAAAAGGGAAAGAAGAAAAGAAAGAAACAAATCCCCCGACCTCCACTCTACTCCCCAATCCACCCACCCACCACCACACCATCCATCCCTAATCCCACTCATCCCATCCCATCCCATCACCAACCTCCCCCCGCCCCATCCCCCATCCCCACCCCATTATAAACCGCCACCCACCCTACCTCCATTCCACTCCCCCCTCCCCCCCTCGTCAACGCATTCGGCAATCCGGGATACATCCCCCCCACCGCCACATTCAAGATAACAAAATACGTTTCCCCCACCAACGCCACCCAACTCTCATAATCTGCCACCATGCCCCCACTAACCGTAAAATACGCCTTCCCATCCAACTCCCACGTAATACTCTGCTGCCGCCACTCTCCCACCCGGGAGATACGAATCCCATACGTATGCCACTCCGCTCTCTCCACCCACTGATCTGGCGATCCGATCGCGAGCGGATACTCTGCAGTTCCATAATGAATGGTCCCCACATTTGCCGAAGCCCCATTAACCTGCTCCATGATATCCCATTCCGCGCATTCGGGCCACCGATTATCTTTTTTGAAGGTTTGGCCGAGGGTCCAGAAGGCGGGCCAGATACCTTGTTGATGGGTGGGATCGCTACTGCCCATTTTGATGCTGGCAGAAATGATCATTTCGGCGTTGGGGGCGCAGCCCCAACTTTTTAGGGTGCTGATGCGTGCGGAAGTCCATGTTCCGGAGGTATAGAGAGGGGTGATGTAGAGGGTGGAGGAACCGGAGAGGTTGGCGTTTAGGGGGGAGGAGGTGTAGTGTTGGATTTCGTTGTTTTGGTTTGTGGCGGGGGTTTCGTATTCCCATTTTAAGGAGGAGGCGAGGGAACCGGCGGGGCCAGAAAAGGTATCGGACCATGTTAGAGTGAAGCCTGGAATTTTGGGAGGAGCGCTGGCGTGAGTCGAAGGGAGGGTAAGGGAGATGGAGAGAAGGGAGAGGGCGATGTGGGATAGGAAAGGGAATGAATGTTTCATGGTGAGTATTGATATGGTTTGTCTAATTCTCATCGACCCCGTGATATATAATGTAAGATTAGGATAGAAAGAAAGAAACAAGAATGAATGAATGAATGAATGAATGAATGAGTGAACGAACGAACGATAAGTGGTCTTGTAATGAATGTGAAAGGTAAATAGATCTGTTGACTTGACAAAAAACAAGAGGAAAGCATGTAAATCTTACGCGGACAACAACCTACTTTATGAAAATCATCTCTCCCAAAATAATGTCTTTAAACATTTCTTCACAATCAAGGGTCTACTTGAAGGTTAATTTCCAACTGAACCTATGTTTTTATCCCTCTTGGCCCAGCTATTAATTCTGTCAATTGTCACTCAACTTATCTTTTCATCTGCAATCACACCAACTTCTCTGTCCAAAGGACCAAATCCACGACCCAAATGTGGCGCAGAGGACTGTATTTAGTACGCGACCTTTTGTATATTCCCCTGATATCTTTAAAATATCGCTTACTTGATTGATTTAAACCACTCATATTTTGTTTGGCGGCCCCATAATTTGTTTGTTGGTCATTGGCAGGTTGTAATTAGAGACTTTTGATCCTCATGGATTTTTTGTCCGCGCTTCTAGTCTTGAGTGTAAAGCTTGGGGTTTCGTACGAAGATAATGTTGGCTGTGGGGATTTTGGGTTAAGCGTTCTGTGGTTATCTGTACGCATGAGTATGTAGATAACGATGTTGAACATCAACTTGTATCGTATACTCGAGTGTTTTTAAGTTCACTCGAGAAATTCGTTGCTCTCATGAGAGACAAAATCGCTAAAAACAACCTGAAAGGAATATATGAGATATGATTCAAGGTAGTGTTGAAGAAAAGATGTAGAGAAGTGAGGAGGAATTGAATGATGAACGACATGGATTTTGCACAGGAATTAATTCCGACCACCTACATAATTTGAGATGCAAGAAAGACCAAGTAAACATAGTTCTCTTGGGGCAACCTCATAACTACAGGGCTACCATTTGATTCAAAGATAATTTCAGAATATAGTGGAAGTCAACAGCGATTGACTTGCATTCTTTCCATCTGAATGTCACCTCAAGCATAGCAGGCAAAGCATTTTGACTTCCAACGTCCCAAGAATGATACACTACGCGCCAAAATCTGTGTGATTTTTTTTTGGAGAATCATTGCTAACAGGATGTCACGGGTAGCTGATAGAGCTTGTACGATGAATGGATGGATGACATGCATACACTATAAAAATTGTCCAATAGAGTGCATCTGCGAGTACTTCGAGTACCAGCAGCGATGATCAAAGGATTCTTCTCAAAGACGGCACTATCACTCTAAATTTTGAAAAATATTCCTCGCCATTATCGTACGATGCGAGCTGAGGTGAACTCAATTGGGGTCACCGAGTATGTACTGAGCAACAGTCTTGAGAATCCATAAGCACTTACTCTGGGATCCGATGAGCACAAGCTCTCTACCACGATAGGATTTCAGTAACGCCGAAAGAATGGAAGAATAGTACAACTGAACTTAACTATTGAACTCGTACTGTAGTGGCATATTCAATGTACTCAGCCAATCATGTATTGTAGTAAAACGCAACTTCTAAGAATTGAACGAAGAGATCGCTGAGCACGAAAATAAGCATTCGATGCTAAGAGATACCGCCAATTCTTGAAAAACAGATCGGCCAGTGATGAATCGTCAAACGAGTAACCAAGTTCAATGCTCGGCGTAGAATGTGTAACACGAGTTTAAACATGCGAGAAACAACACCACAAGTTCGGTTGATTATGATAGAGGTAATAAAGAAGTCAGTCAAGCATAGTAGCCAAGAGTGAGATCTACATCCGTGTATGGAATACTAAGGCACCATCGTTGAACTAGGGATGAATGATAAACTCCAAAGCCATGCATCATTCAATTCACAGTTTCGTGCAGACCTTATCACACAAACTCATATTCTGAGAGAAGACATTTCGTGAAACAAAGAATTGCTTTGGAGGTATGGTTGTGACACTCGCCCTGAACTGAATCATTCATTTCGGTTGGATGATGCCCAAGGCGATCTAGAAATGCAGTGGCATGTGATCATATTGTCTGACTTGCTCTCAACCATTGAAGATCTCGACTTGGCAGCTGTAATCTGTATGTTGACATTACTCGGCTGGATCATCCGCCCCGTCTATGACACAGCGGTGAAAACTTGACCCCTAGAATATTCATTCCAGGTATGATAACTTGGGATTTAGAAGCGTTGTTCAATCCAATGCTTTAGTGTTGTTATCCCATCCAATTCTGAAAAGGTTATCCAGCATGATCTTCTTCCCCGCTTTATTGATTCTTGCGCTCGCCACTAGCCATCTAAGTCACAAGACATCATCTTTCATTTCCACGTCTTTTCAAAACCAATGCATCCTCAACGGAAGTGCATATCCCCAACCTCCTCTTCCTTGGGTATGAATTGAAGTCTGTGCGATGATATGCATTGACAAAGCCATCGGTGATTCCGGATCAGGTAAGGTTAACATTTACATTGAATTTTCCAAGAATTCCTGTATGGAAATTATTACCATCTTTGACATCAAAGCGATGGATAAAAAGTCGTGTAATCACATGAATGGTTCGATCTGGCACCCATCGTGTATTTGAAGTATTTTGTGGACTACCACATTGCTCCCGATTGGTTGTCCCCATCTCTAATATCTTGTGATGATATCGCATTCCCGATAAGAATTTCATGGGAGGGAAACTTTTCCCAACCAATCTTCCACGATTGACAGCCACGAATTCACATCCATCCAAAGATGGTATGAATTAGATGATATGCGTGGTGGCATTCGTTGACCGTTTAGGGAATTTTTGTCCAGTTGATGGTGCTGATGGCGAGCTGAGAAAAATGAGTGATTCTTTTTCGCATTCGAATGTAACGTTCTACGCGCATAATTCTCAAGGTAAGTATGAGAACTCTGAAAGCGATTGCGCTGACGGAACGTGCTCGGATTATATAGAATATTCCAAAGTTGAGTGGTTCGAATGGTCGAATTGAACCATCGACTGCTCGCGTGCTTTTTGATCACTACCCCGCCTCAACTAAGTATCCTTCCACTAAAGAAGCTTGAAATATATTTCTCTGGTCCAATAAATTCTGGGAGAAATTGCGTGATAATTTGAACTAACTTCATTGGAGGTAGACGACGCCAAGTGGAAACATAAATTCAGGAACGATGAAGGTACCATCGATATGATTTGAGCAACTGTCAAAGCCATGGGGGTGAATCTTGATTTTGTCTTTGCATCCGCGAGGCTAGAATTTGTGAATATTGATCATGTTAATGGTCAATTGAATCCACTTGGATTAACACAGTACATGCAAGGCTGAAGAAATCCTTGACCGGGATCGAAAAAAGAAATACGAAGTATAATGTCAAAGACAAGAAGAGACAGGGCTGACATAGCTCGAGTACAGCTAGTCATGAAAAAGTACTGTACGCTGCTTTTATCGAATGCATCTAGACACAAGACTGGAGGAATAGCCTACCACACCGCCACCTGATAACCGTGCTTGTTCCTTTCCTTTTTACAAAGCATCCATAGATTTGCTTTATCTGACTTTTGACACGCGGCTTATATATACATCAGGTGTCTGATTTGATTACCATTACCCAGACACGTCAAGTGTGTATTTACCGCTATCCGGTGGAAGGAAAGCCGGTGACCGGCAAAAGAAGGCATTATTTAGTTCCACTTACGGGAAGCGGATAGAAGAGACGTGGAACAGATTAATAAACGATAAGACTCATAAGAGTAACCTAGTACCATGGTGGAGTGGAGAGGCACCAAGGTTGGGGTAACAACATGGAAGGTGGAGTAGTGATGGACAGACAACACGTATCAGATTGACCAGATGTTTCATACGAATCATGAATCATGATGGATGGAATCAATCGCACACGGGAAAAGCAGAAGTATCGTCCTGTAGACCGAATTTCACGAAGGATTCCCTCCACTTTTGAGCGAACACGAGGGAAGATGAAGGTATCGTGTGTCGTGGCTATCTCGAGGTTGTTGAGAACTTCTAAAGACAGTAAGACGGGCTAGAACCCACCCATAAATTATGGATAAGTCCACTGTCACATGGAAAACCAACCAAATTCAAGACGAAGGAGACAATATCTGACTTGAGTGATGAACAACAAGATCTTCAACATGTGCTCAACGTTTGGATCCCTTCTTTGTTCGATTTGATTGAGCCCAGAATAGATAGACTGTGTGAGCAAGACAACGTAGAGAAGTGTTAGTACTAGTGGAAGGAATATCAATCAATACCTGGGTACTTCTATTACGTACTCGATGCTGTGCTTCCAACTGCTTGATACAACGTTAATCGCACACGCATGAGCATGAAAGCAATCCAAATTGGTTTTGGTCAGACTGTCCATCAAGTCATAGATGAGAAGCTTTGGTTTGCTTTGGCTTGGGTATTTATGACCAGGGGAAGGGAAAAAGGGATTCTGCCATTCTGGTGCCAAACTAAAGGGAACACGCAGGGTCCGATCCATGGATTTAGTTTGACCGATCCAAATAGGTTTAGCGTCCATGTTATCACGCAAGATAGATCCAGATCGCAACATTTTCCCCTCGAGAGTCCCAAGTCCCAAGTCTTCAAAGTTTCCGAATTTCTCAAAATATACCAAAATACACCAATATACGATATACACCAAACTCTCAAGAAAGACTCCACCACTACAATCCACATGACCACTTACCCAATAGAGAGAGAGAGGTAATGATACGGAAACCATCCCATCACTCCTTTCCTATTCTTCCCTTCCCTTCCCCTCCTAATCTAATAACTGTTTCCAACACTCGTAAACTTTCACAGTCAACGGAATTACTCACCGCTAGGTACTAGGTAGGTATTTCCAACAGTCATTTCCATATATCTATTTCTTTTCTTTCATTCACCCTTCTCCCTCCTTCTCCTTCTTCTCCTTCTTCTCCCTCTTCTTCTTCTTTCTTCCGAGCTCTTCATTCACTCGGAATATACATATATATACATTCACCACTTCCCCTAGCTCACGCTACCTCTCATTACCTACCTACTCAATGATCTCTTAATCACATCATTCCCCCAGAGTATTGCACCTTACTTTTATTTACCCCTCGATTTTATCAATACAAAGTCCCCCAGATTTTGTTGAATTCTTTTGAAACTCAACTCGCAACAGAATATACCAAATCTTTTCTTCATAATATAGAAGATCAAGTAGCAACATCACAATGGCTCCAGATTTGAACTCAGTTCCTTCTTCCCCTAGGGTTGACAAAAAGTCGGCCTTTCCTTTCAACCAGGCCAACAATATGCCTTCAGGTTCGAAGCCAAATATTTTATATATCATGGCGGATCAGTTGGCAGCACCCTTGCTCAAAATGCACAATCCAAAATCTCAAATTCAAACACCACATCTTGACGGTCTTGCAAAAGATGCCGTCGTCTTCGATTCCGCATATTGCCCTTCGCCACTTTGCGCACCTTCTCGAATGTCCATGGTGACTGGTCAATTACCTTGCAGAATTGGTTCATACGATAATGCCAGCTCGATCGATCCCTCTACTCCAACATACGCACATTATCTACGAGCAGCAGGATATGAAACTACATTGGCAGGAAAGATGCATTTTATTGGAGAACAATTACATGGTTACGAGAGTCGTTTGACAAGTGATATCTACCCTGGAGATTATGGTTGGGCAGTTAATTGGGAAGATCCAGACAAAAGATTGGAATGGTATCACAATGCTAGTTCTATTTTACAAGCTGGTATTTGTGTGCGAAGCAATCAATTGGATTATGATGAGGAGGTTATGTATAAATCAACTCAATTCCTTTATGATCATGTCCGCAAAGGACCAAATACTAGACCTTTCTGTATGACAGTAAGTTTTGTATCACCTATTTTCAATTTCATTTTAACTAATGTCTCACTTCAGGTCTCCCTCACTCATCCTCACGATCCTTATAATATTCAAAAGAAGTTCTGGGATCTCTACGAAGGTGTGGATATTGATCTACCAGAGACCAAGATTCCACAAGAAGAATTAGATGCACACAGCAAGCGCCTATTGAAAGTTTGTGACCTTTGGGGTAAGGAATTCACAGATGATCAAATCAAGAGAGCTAGACGTGCATACTATGGAGCAGTCAGTTATGTTGATGATTGCATTGGAAAATTACTTCAAGTCTTGAAGGATTGTCGACTTGATGACAATACTATTATTGTTTTCAGTGGTGATCATGGTGATATGCTGGGAGAACGTGGTCTTTGGTATAAGATGTCTTATTTTGAGTCATCTGTTCGAGTACCTCTTCTCGTTCATTATCCAAAATATTTCAATGCGCATCACGTATCCGAGAATGTTTCTACATTGGATATTCTTCCAACATTGGCAGATCTTGCTAATGTCGAATTATGGCCTGGTCTTCCTATGGATGGTTCATCTCTTCTCCCACATCTTCAATCACGTCCAGGTGGATCTGATACTGTTTTTGCGGAGTATTGTGGTGAAGGTACTATTTCACCAATGATGATGATTAGACGTGGACCATGGAAATACATCACATGTCCAGCAGATCCGGATCAACTTTACAATCTTGCTGATGATCCTAAGGAAGTTGTAAACCTTGCATCACTTCCAAGTAAACATCCACTCATGACCGAAGAAACCACCAAATTCTTGAAAGATTTCCAAGCTGAAGCTGCAGCCAAGTGGGATTTTGAAAAAATCACCAATGATGTTCTTCTTTCTCAACGTCAAAGACGACTTGTTTGGAGTGCTCTTAAAGTTGGTAAATTTACTAGCTGGGACCATAATCCAAATGATGATGGCCGTGAGAAATATATTAGATCACATATTCCACTTGATGATTTAGAACTGAGAGCTAGATACCCTCCAGTTGATAGTCAAGGAAGAGATTTGGCAGGGGTTGGTATGGGTGGCTCAGGAGCTGGTGGTATGGGAAGTGTAGTTTATGATCAAGCTGGTGCTCATGGTCAATAATCTTGAGCATTTACGATTTTGGTACATATAGATTTACTTTGGAGCGGGAGTTTGCTTTTTTGATGAAGATATTGCGATGCGAGCATACTTGCTATATACCAAACGATGACGCAATTTCAATTTTTGCTTTTGCTTTTAAGTGGGTTAGGGCATTGCGAGGGATTATAAATGGGTTAACGTGGATTATGATGGAAGAATTGAATGCAGGTCAGATCTTCAACAGAGTTTAGAGGAGAATCCACTATACATAGAATGGTATGGGGATATATCTTCCGGGATGTGGGATGAGCAATGAGGTTTAAAGTAGATGAAATGAAATGAAAATATTATGAAATATTTCAGCAGATGCAAAGGTGCTTGATCTCTACTCATTGAATGAGGTGAGTATGATTCTTGCAGTATCGCTGGTGACTTTTTTGTTTGGTCATGGTGGTTTGGATGTATAGGGGGCGGTTGGGTGTGCTTGTTCTTATTGCTGTCGTTATTGCTGTCGGCGGTTGGTTGCCGCGACTGTCGAGTTTCCTGATGGTGCGAGAGAGGCATTTTTGTTACTTATTGCTACTCTGGTCATCAATTTTGCTTACATAACTCGTGACTCGTGATGAATGAGGCTGGGGAGATTTTGAGAAGTGTTAGTGTGATCGGAGGGGGGTGGGTAGGTAGATAGTTTCTTGAGAAATTCCAAAGCCAGTGAGTGGGTAGTGAGTGTAGTCGAGTTCAGTTTCGTGCGTGATATGATCTATGGCTCTGGGAGTTTGGGAACGTGGTTGGATGGGTGAGGGGGAGGAGGGGAGGGGGGGGAGAGAAAGGGAAAGGGGAGAGAAAGGGAAAGGGGAGGGAAAGGGAGTGAGAGTGAGAGTGAGAGTGAGAGTGAGAGTGAGAGTGAGAGTGAGAGTGAGAGTGAGAGTGAGAGTGAGAGTGAGAGTGAGAGTGAGAGTGAGAGTGAGAGTGAGAGTGAGAGTGAGAGTGAGAGTAAGAGTGAGATTTGGAGATGTTTATAGATGATTGTAGATGTGTGGCGTGGAGTGGAGGTTTTTTCTTAGGGTTGGTGGTGGGGATGGTGAGGAGAGATGGTAAGGGATAGTAAGGAAGGAATTAGAGAATTTGAAGGAGGATGATGAGAGATAATAAGGGATAGTAAAAGATAGTAAAAGATAGTAAAAGATAGTAAAAGATAGTAAAAGATAGTAAAAGATAGTAAAAGATAGTAAAAGATAGTAAAAGATAATAAAGATAATAAAAGATAATAAAAGATAATAAAAGATAATAAAAGATAATAAAAGATAATAAAAGATAATAAAAGATAATAAAAGATAATAAGAAATAATAAAAGATAATAAGAAATAATAAGAAATAATAAGAAATAATAAGAAATAATAAGAAATAATAAGAAATAATAAGAAATAATAAGAAATAATAAGAAATATATAAATATTCCTTTCAATTAGTAATTTAAGTTTATTATATAATTCTCATTATAATTTAACGTGATTTATCAGTGTGCGGGTCATTTTCACCTCAATTCACTCTATTCTCTTTCAATACGCGTTTTTATCAACAATCCACAATGGATTCGAATAATCAAGAAGCCCGTATACTCCTCGCTATCGAAGCTATTCAAAAAGACAAAAAAACAAGTATTCGAAAGGTTGCAAAGATATATAATATCTCGAATACAACACTACAGCGTAGAATTAATGGTATTACTTCCCGTTCCGAATATCGACCTAAATCTTATAATCTTTCAGAACTAGAAGAGAATATCATTTCTGAATATATAATTGATATGGATTTGAGAGGATTTCCACCTAAATTAAGAAATGTAGAAGATATAGCGAATCATATTCTTGAATCGAGGGGTGCAAAGCGCGTTGGGAAGCTCTGGGCGCATCGATTCGTAAAGCGTCGAATCGAATTAAAGACGCGTTTTAGTCGTGTTTATGACTTTCAAAGAGCTCTCTGCGAAGATCCTAAGCTTATTAAAGAGTGGTTTCGATTGGTTGCGAATATGCGAGCGAAATACAGCATTTTGGATGGCGATTTCTACAATTTCGATGAGACGGGCTTTATGATGGGTATAATATGCCCCGGAATGGTAGTAACTAGTGCTGAACGGAATGGCAGAAGCAAGGCAATACAACCAGGCAATAGAGAATGGGCTACAGCAATCATATGTGGCAATGGGGAGGGTGAAACTATACCCCCATTTCTAGTGGTTCAAGGACAGGTTCATCTTTCCAATTGGTATACCGAAACCGATTTTCCTGCGGATTAGGCTATTAAACCTATATCTAATGGATAGACAAACAATGAGACAGGTTTAGAATGGTTGAAACACTTCGACAAGCACACTAAGAACCGAAGAAAGGGCAGGTATCGAATGTTGGTACTAGACGGGCATGAAAGCCATGAATCAAGAGCTTTTCAAGCATATTGCAAAGAGAACGATATTATATGCTTAAGTCTACCACCGCATTCGAGTCATTTAACTCAACCACTTGATGTGGGCTGTTTTAGCAATCTGAAACGTTCATATGGTGGTCAAATTGATGGATTTATCAAGGCACATATCAATCATATTTCGAAGGTTGAATTCTTTATGGCTTTTAAAGCTGCATATAAAGAATCAATCATCTCTCAGAATATGAAATCAGGATTTCGAGGAACAGGTTTAATACCATTTAACCCTGAAGCCGTACTTTCGAAGTTAGATATTCGAATTCGTACACCTACCCCTCCCTCTTTCGATCTAGATCAATGGATCTCTCAAACCCCTCACAACCCAACTGAAGCTCTTTCTCAATCAATTTTAGTGAAATCTCGAATAACCCGACATCAATCAAGCTCCCCTACACCTATATTTGAGACTGTACTAGCTCTAGCTAAAGGTACAGAGAGATTAGCTCATGAGAATACACTTTTGAATGCAGAGATTCGTACACTTCGAAAGGCAAATGAGGCATTAAGCAAGCGTCGGCGCGCGAAAAAAACCCAATTACGTCAAGGAGGAGTACTTACTGGGCAAGAAGCTCTTGATATATTATCTCAACAAGAGGTTGATATTCAGATTCAACGCGACGAGCGTCAAAAAGGGAGGAATTCTAATGAAGAAGCATCTTCTAGTCGATGCTGTAGTAAATGCGGAAAGACCGGACATAATGCAAGAACTTGTCAAGATAATATAATAGATCCTAGATTATTATAATTTTCATAGTTTTAATCAATTGATTCAATGGTTGTTGAATAATATGAGTTTGAAAGAGTGAATTGAGGTGAAAATGACCCGCACACTGATATGACCCGCACACTGATAAATCACGTTATTATCTTTTAATAATTAGTAAATGAATAAATACTTGTTATTTTTAGTCGAGCTAATATAATGTAATGTATTATGTTATATTGTATAAATAGTATGAGAGATTATTCATAAGGATTAAGAGTGGAAGTGTATTTGAGTGGTTTTTTGTAGTGAGATTGAAGTGTTGGTGTTGGTGTGGTGATAAGGTTTGGAATTGAGATTGTGTGTGTGTGTGTGTGTGTGTGTATGTATGTATGTATATGTGTATGTGTATATGTATGTGTATGTGTATGTATATGTGTATTTATATATGTGTATGTGTGTGTATGTATATATATAATTTGAAATAATTTATTGGGTTAAAGTTTTTTCTGGGGGTAGGGGACTTCGGGGGTGAAGAGGTAAGGATGATTGAGGGGTGGATAGTATAGCTGGCTGTTTTTGAAATTTAATGAATGATTGGATTCTGGTGATGGGTTTTGTTGCGCGTAGTATATAGGTATGTATACTTTGGTTTTTTGCTGTTGCATCTTTGGGAATTTTTACGCTATTCGAAAGATTCTATTCTCGACATTTTGAAGTTTGGATGTTTTTTTATCGAATGTGCATTGTGTATGGGATGTATGACCGCTGTTGCTTTACCAATTATCATGATCTCATCATCTGATCCCGTAATTTCTCGCAGATCGCGAGGTTTTTATAGTGAGACTAACCGGTACTTTACTGTATGAGGAGTCGAGGAGTCGAGCAGTCGAGCTTTGTTCCTGCGTAGGTCAGCATGAAAGGGATGTCTGTATGGGTGAGGTAGATATTATTAGTTTTGAGAGGAAGGGGGAGTTTCTACCTGCGCTTTGGGTTTGCAAGTATTGATGAATGGATGGATGGATGGAAAGCATGGAAGTAAAAAATTCGAGTACTTATTCAGGATAAAGACGATAAAGTATGCCTCAGGGGGGCAAAAGATATATACCTAGTATTCACTTCTAATTTCTAAACATGAGAATCTTGAGAATGAAAAATGTAGATGGTATAAAATCATCCCCCTTGAGTCTTATACCTCAAGAGAGGCATCAGGGGTATGATTCCCTTCGCGAAAGACTACTCAATGTTACTCATGATTTGCATTGCTGGCTGTGTTTTGTGCTCTCATGCTCTGATGTCTTGCTTTGAAGAATCAATATTTGTGGTATATGATTCTTTTCTCTTTTGATATGCATATATTAGAAATTTTTGGACTGAATTTAGGCTGGATTTTTGTTGTTATTATGTATGTGTAGTTTAGTGGTTGGATTTGTTGGTTGTTATTGTCATTATTAATTGTGTATTTATTTTTACTATATTTTTGAGAATTTAGGTAATTACCTGGTGGTATTATAGTTCTTCTATTTGTGATAAATAGGTAGGTAAATTCATGAAGTAGAATTCTGATTCGAGTGGGATTGTGTTGTAGATATCCTGAGAAAATGAGATTGATGTATCTTTACTAGGGTTGTTATATATCCCCTAGACTGTCATCTTAAAACACCTTTTGTAGTCTATATACTCTCACAACCATTAATAATTTAACAAATAATATTATAAATAAAAATCTTTATATTAAATTTGAAAACTGAAATTTATTAGAAAAACAATAATAAATATATCAAACATATTTCCACTGTGTTTTTTTCATTGAAGAATAATTATTAAATGATTTTAA